AATTTTACTTTGTTGTTGTTTTTTTTAAAATAATTTTCATCGAATTTGAAAAAGTTTAAAGGTTAAATAAAAATGGCGGAAAAACGGACACCCCCCCCGTTCCCTAAACGTTTGAAACCTTTTTCGATTGATGACAAGTCGAATAATTTTTTTTGTTGTTTCAGGTTTTCAATTTTGGATAAAGTATTTGGGATAAAATTTAAAGGTACGTAAAAAACAAAAAATTTTTTAAATTTTAAATATGGAAGTTTTATTACAAAATGGCGGACAGAAAAAAAATCAAAACAATAACGGTCTGTTTCCTTTTAAAAAATGAAAAAAAACAATACAATAATTGATTTTATTTATTTATTTTTTTAAATAATTATCTATATAATTATCCAGATCAAACAATAATAATAATAATAATAAAAATAAGTATTACGAATCGTTCGTTATGCGTGAATTAATTATTAAGTAATAATATTTAATCGATTTTTACCACAGTAGAAATTTATCATGGCGGCGATTATGCGAAAAAATTTTCTCCTTTTATTCTTCCTACACTTTTCCTTATTTAATTAATTTATTATAATAAAAATCGTCTGCTCCGTTTTTGGAGAAATTGACAATGTAATAATAATAATAATAATAATATAAAAACCGTACCTACTAGTTAAAATCGTATCAGATGATGATGATGCCTGATGCCTGTATAAGGTTCGAGGTGGGAATAAATAAAAAATAAGCCAAACGAAAAAAAAATTTTTTTGTTTGTTTGTTTGTTTCCCTTCACTTCTTTGATTGTTCGACGTGTGAAAGGTAATGACGTGTGCGGTTTTTTTTTTTTTGCACAGATGGTTGATAACCCGGTTGTTAATTTTCAATCGTTTTAAAATCATTATTATCATTATTATTATTATTATTATTCTATTACGATTGCCTATTCGAAAAATTTTTTTTTTTTTTTTTTTTCATAACGATCGTTCAACACGAATTTTTGTTCAAACGAATTTTACCTCAATTTGGTTATTTATTCAATTTTTTTTTATTTTTAAATTACCTTGATTGATGGTAAAAGGTGAAAGGTGAAAGGTTATTAAAATTCGTTGTTCGTGATCGATTCGATGAATCATTTTAAACTTTATAAAAAATAAAAAATAAAAAAAATTTTTTTTTTTTTGTGAATTTAGTAGTAGGTAGTGAATTTTGACATTTGGGCTTTTAAAAAAAAATTATTTATCGTCCTTGTAAATGGTGGCTACTATTCGTACAAGAAAAAAAGTTTAAAAATACAAAAACTAGTAGTCAATCAATCAATCAATCAGTCAGTCAATCGGTCGGTAATCTTTAGAAAGTGTTCTACCTTGTAAATATTCTTTTTTTTCTACGTTGTAGTTTCATTTTCTTTGTTAAATATTTTTTTCTTTTGCTATAATTTATTGTTACATTAACAAAATAAAATTTTTTTAAACAAAATAACAAATTAATCAACAACAACAATCAACAACAAACAACAACAAACAAATTTTTTTTTATTTAAATTTATTTAAATTCTTTTATTGTTTGATTTAATTTTTGTGAGAAAAAAAAAAAAATTTTTTTACTTATTTTCAGTTTTGTTTTGTTTAATCTACGAAACAATAATAATAATAATAATAATAATAATAATAATAATAATAATAATAATACATTAATTGATTACGTACACGTTTATTAAATGTTGTTATTTAATTTCCTTTTTTTAAATAAAAAATTTAATTAATATCGTCAACGCCCTAAAATCCTTGCATGGATTTTTTAAACCTGATTTAAATTAAAGCAGAAAAACTTTTTGCAAATTTATAAGTCGTTTATGGCAAATAAAAAATGCTTGAAACAATTTTCATAGAAAAAAAATTATACAAACTTTAAATTAACGATAGCAAAAAATGGGAAAAAAATTTTGCTGAAGACAAGTCATCGAATAAATGTTTCGTAAAAAAAAAAAAAAAAAATTCCGAGGAAGAGTTTTTTTATTTTTTTTTGCTATAAAGAAACAAGTCGTCGATAAGAAAAATATATAAATAAAATTATGAAAGAGAGCAAAAAAAAAAAAAAGTGAAAGTGATCATATAACACAAGCAAAGTGTCAGAGGTTGAACCTTTCCCCCCCCCTCCCTCCCCCCCGATGAAGATGATGATGATGATGACTTTTAAATAAAAAAAAAAAGTTTTCCGGTTTTTTTTTAAAATATTTTTTTTAATTACGTTTTATTTTTATATTTTATTATTATTATTATTATTATTCTTACTGGAAAGTTTTTTTAAAACCGGTTTACGTGAAGAAGAAGAAGATGTAGAAATAATAATGATAATAATAATGATAATCATTCGCAAAAATCTTTTTTTTTTTAATTGCACACAAAAAAATTATTTCGGCGCCTTAACAATTTTTGTTTCTCCTGCAAAACGGCGACATTTTCGTTTAATGTCGCAAAATAATAAAAATTTTTAAGACGTAAAACAAAACTTTGTCGTTTGTTGTTTGTTGTTGTTGTTGTTGATTTCATCTTCGTTTAAACGCAAAATTTTAAAGAAAAAAAAATTTTTTTGATTTTCTCCATCGTGCGTTTTCCGTTTCTCCAGTCATTTTCTTTTTTTTCAACTCCTTATCGCTGATGTTATAAATTTTTTTTCACGTACGACACTTTTTTTTCTTTTTCTACTTAATCTCATCTTTTCACGGTTATTTGTCATAAAAGTTAATTGTTTCGACTTCCTTTCATTTCATTTTTATCATTTCAAAACTAAAAAATTTCATCATCACCCACAATTTTTTGATTGTGTCACGTTAACTACATATCAACTTTTACGACGCAAAAAAAAAATAATAATTTTTTTCTTATTACGACAATAATGTATACCATCATTATTATTATCATTATTATTATTATTTATAAACTCTAATTACGATCCTATTATTATTATTAATATTTTAATCGAATGCAAATACGTCGCAATTAAAAAAAAAATAATTTTGAAATATTAAAAAATTATTTTCTCGTATTATAAAAAATTTTAAAAAATTTAAATAATTAAAAATAAGTTAATAAATGTGTTTTAATAAATCAATAAAATCGATAAAATCAATAAAATCAATAAAAATTCAATAATGGAAAAAGGAAAAACGTGATTTTCGTTGCGTTTCGTTTCGTTTTTCCTTTTTTTTTTTCTTTCTTTTGTTACGTAATATTTTTTTTATTTATTTTTTAACGTGTCAGGCAAACTAAAAAAAAACCATTAAGAATTATTATTATTATTATTATTTGGTCTTATTTAACGTAATAAATTTAAATCAATTGTTTTATCGTGACTGTGAATGGGGAGGAAGGGGTGAAGGGGAGCAGGGGAAGGAAAACTAAAAAAATTTAAAAAAAAAAAATTTGTGTGCGAATGAATTTTATTTAAACAAAAAAGTGAAATTAATAATAATAATAATAATAAATTCAAGTTTGAAGAGGAAGAGAGAAAGAGAGAGAGCGTTGAACAATAATGCAATCATATTTACGTAACTTTTTTTTAAAAAAATAATATATACATTTATTAAATTTTAATGACTAATAATATTAATAATAATAATTTTAAAATATCAAATGTTCTTATTAATTTTTTATTATTTATTTTTATTGAATTTACGTAGAAAAGTTTTTTTTTCTATTTTTAACAATTAGGAAAGATTAAAAATTTCAAGGTTTGTGTCTCTCCGTTCCAGCCACGCACCAAAAATTTTCCTAAAAAACCGTAAAATAAAAAAAACAAAAACAAAAACATTGTAAAATGCCACAAAAAAAAGAAAAGTATTTAAATGTCGTCCTTGTCCAACATTTTGACAATTTTTTTTTTTTTTTTGTTTACAACCGCAAAGGTAATAATTATTATTATTAATATCACTACTTAAAAACGATAATTATCAATCGAACCAAGTTTTTTTTTGGGAGCTTTTACTAACTTCTAACTTTTTATTACTTTTCCTTTTTTTTTTCTTTTTTCAAAAATTGCAATTTAAAGGTTAAAATTGCAATTTCAATTCTTAAATGCATTTAAATTAAAATAATTAAAAAAATGAAGGATTTTGGAAATTTTTTTTTTTTTTTTTTTTGGATGGAAGGAACAAATAAAAAAATTAAATTTTATTAATTATTACGATTTATTAATTAAAATAAATAAAAATTATAAAAAAAATTGTTATTATTATTGTTAGTTATTATTTTTATAAAAATAATAACTTTCAAATAGTGAAAATTATAAATTAATACAATATTATCGGTAACGTTTTTTTTTTTTTTCTTTTTTAAAATTAAAAATTCATATATTCAAGAGTAAAAAAAAAAAATTTCTTTTTCCCAATACGTCCCATTAAATTTAAATACATAAATTTTTTTAAATAAATACATAATGGCATCAAATTTATAATAAATAGAGACTAGTTCGATCAAAAAAAAAATTTTTTTTTATGCCGAATACTAAACATTTATGCTCATCGATTAATAATTTTAAAAAAAAATTAAATCGGTAATAAAATGAAAAAAAATTTGGTAATAAAACCTTAATAAAACCTTAATAATAATTACCAAATGAATTTTTAATTTTAATTTTTTTTTTCATACCTATATAATTAAATATAAAGGTAACTAATAATATAAAAGGTAATTTAAAATAAAAAAATGTAAACAAATAAAAATCCACCGCCTTTATGAAAACAAACCGCTTTTTAATATACAAGGCGGTGGAAGTGTAAAACGAATTCGTATTTGAAGAATTTTTTTTTTTTTTAAATATGCAATTCTTTTACTCTTCTGTTAATTTTTACGCGCGTAAAAATTCGTTAACATAAATAAAATAAATAATAAATATTTTTTTCAAACTTGTAGAAAAATGGTGACGTTGAAATTTTTATTTTTAAGCAAATTATGTACCAATTATTGTACATTTTCATTTTTTTTTTTTTTTTGGGGGGGGGAATCGAGTTGTTTGTCGTTTTAAACAAGAAGATTGTCATCGGCACAAGCCGGACCCCCGACAGGCCAATTACAAGCACTAATACTGGTATCGTAAGTTAAACGAATCGGACAATTAAAGACGTGAAGTGTGAATTTTTCTTCCCACGGATCCCAATGGCAAGCATAAAATTTGTTACAATATTTAGGATGTCTAAAAAGTCCCGTTCTTTGGCAATCGACGGATCCTTGAAGAGTTTCATCTAAACTTCTCCATCCTCCAGGTCCGTATCTATCAAATGCAGCACCTGCGTAGGTTTTTGATGGACGTCCTCTGATTTCGTTTTGCGTTCTCGATTCTTCTGCACCAAATCCACCGTTTTCAACAAGTTGATTGGCCGATATTGGAGATAATAAATATGTATCTTGATATCTGCCATCATTTGGAGATAGCAATGGTGGCAAATATCGAGCTTTGCCTCTGTTTGGTTTTTTGGCATTTCCTACCCCGTTAACGTCTCCATTGTTTTTAAGATTTGTTTCAGGCGGAACACTCGAGGATGTGATCGATTCGTAGGCAGCCGTTGTCGAAGCAAAATCATTTTTAAGACTTTGAGTCGATGAACCGACATAATCAACATTTTCTGAATCAGGTACGACTACCACGTTGTACTGTCCGTTAACCTTAGATGATGGAGATTCTTGGGTTTGATAGCGATTTTTGGGTTTTCTTCTCCTAAGTGAAGCATCTGATGATTTTTGTTTTTTACCTCTTAGGTCAAGAACGTTTGATTGACAACTACATTGTCCAGCTAATTTGTCAATTAGTATTGGATTAGCATCACTAACTTGCGATACAACAATTATTGATTTTTTATCATTTTCAACTTTAGCATTATTGAAATTCACTGCTATACCTGCAGAACCTGGTGTTTTAGATTTTGCGCCATAATTATTATTATTTTCAATTATATATTCCTCGTATTTGTTGGTAGCCGGCAGATACGAAACAGGAAATTCGTGATGTTCTTCTTTCGCTTCATATTTTCCACCGAACTTACCATTGGTGGCAGCACTTAAACCACCGCCATTTCTGTTCTCATCGAATTTTCCAGAGTGATAATTAATAACTTTTCCATACCTTCCAGAATATTGATCTTGATATTGTTGATTTCCACTTTGACCTTCATTTTTACCTAAGTAGTCTTTTGTGATTCCTCCTTGGAATCGAGTTTTCGATGAAACGATATCAGAATTGATATCCTCACTAGAAACTGATCCTGAAGAAGTACTCACTCCAAAATCGGTACTCTTGAGATTTTCATTACCAAAATATTCTTCCGACGGAAGTGGAATTTTAGCATTCGCATTTATTGAATTTTTCAATCCATAATCAAAACTATGTCCAGTGGAAAAATTTTGAGTTCCGTCATAAGCTACAATAGAACCAGATCCTCGCGAACCGGGGACGTTCACATATAAACTCGAGGGTTGAAATAAGGCTTTTCCTTGTGAATCCCGATGTTTTTGAGTATCGGAGATTTCACCGCTTTCGCTACTGACTTTTTGCGATTCAAAATATCCAAAAAATTTACCAGGTTTTTTACTTAATGAAGTTATATAAGTTTTTGAAGATTCCGTTGAAGATGGCGAAAATAAATTAACATCATTTTGACTGGTTGGTGTTTGGACAGTAGTGGAAGAAACAAAGTGCGGCGGAGTGGAATGCAGTTGGATATTGGAAGTTTTATGGAACAATGTACCTCCTTCATTATGAGTCGAATCTGTATTTTCTTGGAAATTTATCTGGATTTCTTGTGAAATTAATTTTTGCTGTTCGATTTCGAAACCTGGATTTGCAATATGTTGAACATTACTGTTGTAGGTGGATTTATCATCAGACACTGAAACTACTTGTATGCTTTGCGTTGGTGTTACCGAGAAAGCAGGCGAAGAAGTAGATTGAACTGGTAAATTATAAGAGTTTCCTGGTGGTAAATATTGATTTGGTGATTCTTTTACTGTTGGTTCGGTAAATTGAGAGACTCCATTCAATCCGTTGTTAGCAAACGCTTTGCTTGTTATAACAACTACATCGGCAGGTTTTTGACTGATAATATCATAGGAAACTTCTTGATGGGTTTGTTCTGTTTGGTGAATAGCTGGTGCTGCATAATTCTGAGAGTCAGAAAAATCTTTAGAACCTCTAAAACTTTGCTGTGGAAAAGCGGTTTTGGATGCTATATCACTATGCTGAACACTTGAATAATGTGATCCAGTTGACAAAACATTACTGTGTGAGGGTATAAATGAAACAGGAACAAAAGGTTGGCTTCCAGAGTTTTCAGAGTGTATTGATTGACCAGTTCCTGTAGCATACTTCCCGACATGTTCTTCTGTTTTGTAATTTCCAGCACTTGCAGTGAGAGATTTTGACAATGAAGAGTCAATTGAAAATTTTGAAACCAATTCTCCACTACTTTGAGAAGGTGAAAATTGAGTTGTGATTTGTTGAGTCGTACTTGGGAAATTATGGTTGTACAAACTAGGTGAAGGTGTCGTCGGAGAACTTGAGGTGAAACCACTAGGAACTGATACACCTTGATTAAATTGATGTGAAGTTGGTGTTGCAACAAAATTTACGGAAGAAACTGTAGCCTTAGGAGTTCCTGTAGAATATTTATAAACTGAGGATTCAGTGCTGCCGCCGAATTTTCCACTTTGTGGTGATTCTGGGGTGGAAAATTTTAAATTTCCTGAACCGTGAGAAAAGGATTGTAAATTATTAATTTCTACTTTGCCGTCGTCGTTGTTTTCTAAAACTCCAGTTTGTCCTTTATAATTGAATGGTCTTGGAGAACTTAAATGAATACCTGGAGATGATTTTGAAGCAGTATAAGACACTTGTAAATTGCCTTGATTGTATTGATTGGTTAAGTGTGTCCGGCCATCATTTTTAAATTGTGCAAAATTGTTTTCTTCATCTTTTTCTCCTGGGTTTATTTGCGAAGTGACAGAAAACTTTCCTCCTTCCTCACTGCCTTGATTTCCACTATTAGCTGTTTTTGAAACGAATACATTAGAAATACTTGATCCATAATTTTGACTGGTAGTTATTATATTTTTATTGTAATTTTTGAATGAATTCGGGAGAACATTTGATGGAACGACTATTGGAGTATTGTAAAACAATCCACCGGTATGAGCATTATCTGTATTTTTCAATCCATTATCATTCGAGCCTAAATGTGAAGTTTGTTTTGAGCCTTCCGGATGATTCACATAAATTACATCCAACGGATTTTGAACTTTGTTTTCTTCGTTAAGAGCTCGACCCGGAACATTATAAATAATTTCGGAATTTTCTTTTTGTTTGAATATTATTTTTGGGAATGGCCTGTCTTTAAATGAAATTAATTGGGAGTTTGAATCAAAGTTTCCGTTTTCACCAAACTTTTCAAATCCAGAGGGTAAGCCCACATCTTGAGCTGAAGGAGCACCATAATTACTTAATTTTATATTTGGTTGGGATTTGTATTTAAAGTTTATTAAATCTGGATTTAGTGGCTCAGGTGATAAAGGTAAATTAGGTTTTTCAATATTTCCATTATTGAACGCACCATTTATTCCAGCTTGATACGACTGAATTTTGTTTCCAGAAAGAAGCGATTGTTGAGAAACAACATTGGCACCATTTACTTTATTTATGCTCTGTATATCATAAGCTGGAGTAACCGAAGGGGAAACAAAAGATGCAGATGGCGTTGTAAAAGTAAAATCGCCAGAGATTGCAGCCTTAAAGTTTTCTTTAAGATTGTTGTTGGTAGAAAATAAAGAGCTGTTATTTGTTAAAGATGGTACTACATTAAATCCAGAGTATTTATTTTGATTCTCACCCACGTTATATTTTTGTTTATAAGTATTAACCTCATTTTGATTCATGTATCCTGTGTGTTGTTCATACGCAGTTTGGGGTCCGAATCCAAAACTGTTTGATTGATAGTCTTGAACGTTGTTCTTATTAAAACCGTAAGAAACTTGACTTCTACCTGAATCTATATATCCTGAATGTTGTTCATAAGCACTGCCGGTTTGAGATCCGGTATCAGTTACACTTTGTCCAAAACCTAATGAATTTAGCGATTGCCCCTGAATATTGTTATAACTAGTATGTGAATTCAGGTTTTGATTTTCTGTGTTGATATTTAAATGTTTTCCAAAACTATTTGTAGCTCCCGCTGGCGAAAGGTTGTTATTATATCCATAACTTAGAATTTGTGACTGAGAAGCAGGGGTTGTAACTCCATGTTGATTACCAAATAAATTGGATTTGGGTTGATGAACTGCATTATTTCCACTAAATGTATTTGTGTTTTGAGGAACAAATACATAAGCTGTGTGTTGTTCATAAGCACTTTTTACATTGGGTCCAAAATTACTTGTTGGTTGTTTATAAGCATTTCCACCATTGTAAACTGAAGCGGTGGAGCCAATAGGTCCATTGAAAGAATTAGTTTGTTGCCCAAGGCTTCCCGTGCTTAAAACATGAGAATTTAAAAGATGGCCAGAATTAAGATTATTTAAAATTTGACTATTGGAACCTCCATTAAGTCCTGAAACACTTGGATTACTACCAAAAGCGTTAATCGATTGTTTCTGAGATTGCTGAGAATAAACTGCATGGAAATTTGAACCTTGATTTCCGTATCCAAAATTTTGACCGTTTGCGTTGTTAGAATTAAAAGATCCAAGCTGCTGTTGGTGTGAATTCGTGCTATATCCCGTAGTAATTGGGTTAGAAGAAATGGTAACAAAACCAGATGTTTGCGGGCCAGAAACCTGACTAGAACTATGCAAGCTTCCTAAAGTGCCAGTTTGTGAACTCTGAGGATTTTTGAAAACAATTCCTGATTGTTGATGAGTATTATGGAAATTTTCCGAATTGAATCCGAGATTAGGTGGATTAGGAGATCCATTGAAAGAGTCAGACTGTTGTCCAGAATTCGAGGCAGTGTAAGTATTCAAATCTTGACCAGAGCCACCTAACTGGCCGAAAGCTGAATTTTGCGAGTTTTCAACCTTGTTAAATCCATATTCTTTGTAGCTAGTTCCTGTATTAAATCCAGGAGCAGATGGACCATTAAGTCCACCAGTAAAGCTTGTTTCAGACTGTTGTGAGTGACCTACAGTTAAGATTTGAGCAGTATTTTCATTGTTTTTATTCGAATCCAAAACAGCATCACCTTGATATTTACTTCCAGTAAAATCAGGAGAAGTGATACTCTGATATTCATTTCCAGGCGTTCCAGGTAAAGTTTCACTATGGTATGTACTACCAGTGTTTCCTGAAAAAGTAGCTCCGTGATATCCATTTTTAGTATTATCCAAAGAACTGGCTCCTTGATATCCATTAACAGTGGTGCCTGTTACCGTGACAGGTGCTTGGTACTCACCCTCAGCCGTGTGGGGTGCAGTGATTTCAAATCTGCCACTGTTAAAATCTGATGAACTGACACTTCCATAAGTGCCTACAAGGTTTGTTCGATGGTCATTTTCAGCATTTCCGTTAAAAGCGTTAATTTGTTGCTGCTGTAAAATTTTAAGGTTAGATGTTGTACTTTTTGCCTCGTTGTATAAATTGTTGAGATTTTTGTATTGTTCTTCAGAGTTTCCAATATTTTGACCTTGTTGTGTTCCATCAAAGTTGCCCAAATAAAATTTCTGCAAGTTTTTAGTTTTTAATAGTTCAGAAGAGGAATCTACATTTGAATTTGGAACTCCAAAATGCTGATAATAATTATTATTGTTATTGTCCGTTTGGAGTACTGCTGACGAAGAATGTTGTTCATTTTTAAAATAATTTAACGGTTGTAATTGTTCATCTCCATCGGAAGGCTCAGACACGGAATAACCTCCTTTTTTACCAGCATTAAATTTTTGATTATAAATTTCTTTGGATTTATATAAATCGTTGGAAGATGAATAAGTTTGTGGACTACTATCAGATGTTCCTTTTACATAATTGACACTTTTGTCTTTATCAATATGTGAAATGAAGGCAGGAGTTGAATAAGGTTTTGCGGTTGTGGATGGTATTGTGACTTCATTTGTGTTTGATGAACCTCCTACATTTTTAATATCGTATTTTAAATCCGTTTTTTCAAAATTTAGACCTCCTGCATTATTGTTTGAAAGGAAACTGCCTTGACCAAAGTCAGAACCAGAAAAATCGGTTGTAGGCTTGCTTTTGCTACCAAAATTTCCCGAAAAACCAGATAAATTAAGGCTGTCATGTAGGACCAAGCCTTCTGTGTTTTGAATACGTCCTCCAGAAACTTTATAATCCGGATATGATGCAAATGATCCTCTTTGACGATTTTCGTTATCAAACTGACTAGCAATATAATCTCTTGCACTGTTATCGCCATTGTAAGTAGGAGTTTGTTCCCTTCCTTGAAAACTATTACCGAAGCCTTTTCCAAATCCATTAATTGCTCCGTTTCCTCTATTTTGATCGTATTGACCCAATGAACTTTCTAAATTTCCTCCATTAATGAAAACATTAGACTGCACTCCCGAAGATAATTTCACATAACCGGACGATCCTTTTTGTCCGCAAGAACCAACGATCCAAGGCCAGTCACATGCCAATTTTTCTTCATTAAAAACCAGACCAAACGGGCATCTAAATTCATATGCTGTTAGTGGTGTCACTCCATCACGAGTATGATCAAGACAAGCAAAAAACCATCTGCAGTTTTCGGGATCTCCATAAAATCCTAAAAAAGTTTTATCAAATGTAAATAAGTTTATTTTTAACAACCAAAATAAATTCGAAATAATACTAAATGATAAAAAAATTTACCTTCTTGGCTCGGACAGTTATAGTGAGACCTTGGAACTGGAGCGATTTCTGACGAACCGGTGCATGGAGCTCCATTGGGTAAAGAACCTGGCCAAACACAAACTTCCCATCTTTCGTCAAAAGCCAATCCTGCTGGACAGTCGTATTCAAAAACGGTAAATTCGTCAGAATATTGATCGAACTTCACACATCGATAAAACCTGAAATAAAAATTAAAAAATTTAACAAATTACTTAAGGTAAAAAAAAAAAAATTTTCATTCCAGTATTTTTCTTACTTGTTGCAACCCAGTGGATGACTAAAATAACCTTGTCTGGAACATTCGAATTGCGTTTTCGTATTCCTTCTTATAACGTGAACTGCTCCCGAATGATCGACCACTCTTACTATTCTATATTCCGATAATTTAATTCCAGCTATAAATAAATAAAATTCTATTAATAATAACCTTTTAATAAATTTTTTTTTTTTGCAGGTTTTGAACTTCGCTCACGCAACAAACCTTCAATGCTCGTATAGGCCGTATCATGGATTTCTTCTTGTAAATTTTGTAATACGGCAGCTCTTGGTTTTCTACCAAAATTTTTAAAATTATTATATAAAACACTTGTCAAAAATCCTCCTGTTTTACCAGAGCAAGATCGATCGCTTGAATCGGCATCAATTGGATAAATGGCTCCACCGCCAAGTTCCCGAAGGAGTATGTATTTGCCCTAAATTAATTTTTAGTTTTTAATTTAAAAAAAAAAACTGAAAACTCTTTTTTTTTTTTAATTTTATTTTTAAATATACCTTAATGCTAACGCTAATTTCATCTTCAAAAGCTATCCATTCCTCTCCAGAATATGCATAGGGTGCCGTTAAATCTTCATCTCTTTCCAGAGTCCAGTTTTTGTTTTTAAATAGGGAACATAACTACGTAAAAAAAAATAATGATAATAATTGCTTATAGTTTTGTACGAATGCGGAAATAAGCAGGAAAGAAAATTTATGTACATAACAACAAAATTATTTCTCTCGAACTAATAGTTATAAATAACGTTATGCTCTGACTATTGTATTATGTAACATTTATAATGGTTTTAATAAACTCAATAAATAATAAATAAAATTATTAAGGTTCAATATTTACATTAAATTGATCGATTATTTGCGGTGATGATACCGAAGGTGATCTCGGTGTATTTTTATCAATATTTTTTAATTTAAATTTTAATGCTGTTGCTGGAATGCTTATGACAATTTTTGATTTGATTGTTCCCATTCCCAATAAGAAATCCAATATGGAATCCTAAAATTTACAATTTTTCTTCCAATTATTTAATTAAATTTAAATTTATTTAATAATCATTATAATAAAAATAAACTCACCGTATTTAATACATCTGATAAACCCATTAATCTGCTTGGATGATAAGTGAATCCATCTTCATTTTTATTTGTTATGTTATGTGTTGATATGGATAAAATATCAGCGTACCTGTACGGTGAACAATCATAAATTAATTTTTTATTAAAGTAAAAAAAAAAGAAGAATTTATTTGATATACACAGGAAATAACAATCATACTTTGATAAAGATTTTAAATCATATTTTTTTCCAATTATTTCCAATTCCACTGGTAACCTTAAAATAAGAATGAAACCGTTTTCACATTTTTTAATTTTTTCTAAATCATTTGGCTGTTCGGTAACAATTGTTGTTTGTTCGGTAAATGTAGATTCTTCTTCTTCTTCTTCTTCTTCTGTTGTCGTTGTTGTTGTTGTTGGTAATTCGATTGTTTCGACATCTTGTTCGGAATCGGTGGTTGTGAAGTCTTCAAAAATCGTTTCGTTTTTATCATCGACGTTATCGACATTTTTCTTTTCCCTGATTTTCACACTCGTTTCCTTCGGATTAACCGTCGTAGATTTAATAGATTGAGTTTTAGACGTTCCCGTTTTGGGTGCTTGAGTCGGATATGCTTTCGTCGTGATGTCATCTGCTTGTGATTCAATGACGTCATAACCGTTTCTTTTAATTCTTCTCCGTTGACTTTCTAAAGACTTTGATAACGTCTAAAAAATAAATGTTAATTTTTTTCATTTTTATTTCGAGTTAATTTAATTTTAATTTAATTAAAACTAAAAAAAAAAAATGTTAAAAATTCGTTTTAAACATTTTCCCTTAATTATTTTTAATAGATTAAAAATCTTAATGACCTATTATACAAAACATTGGCTACCATTTACAATTATAATATCATTAAATTTGACCTTAAACTTTTGTTATCTTTTATATGTTTAAATTAAATTAATGAGTAATAGTTATGTAATTATTATTGTCATTATCGTCGCTATTAATAACGTCTGTCAGCTTTGTCGTAATAGAAAAATATTTTAAAAACCAGGTTTAGGTTCTGTAATTTAAAATACATTTAAGTGTTGCGTTTAAAATTTTTGCAGGAGTAAAAAAATAAAAAATTAATTTCTCACCTTAACAAAAGACGTGTAAGAATCTTTCAAACCGTTTGTTTCCGTTGAAAATTCAAAATTAAGTTCAATTCCATCAAAATCGTATTCTTGCAACAAAGTATTTATTTCATCTAATAAATTTTTACTCTTTTTTTCTGATTCTAAAACGTTCGATGATTCGTTTTTATTTAAATTTAATGTTATTAAAATCGATAAATCGTTTTTAATTTCTCTAACCGACGATATATTTTTCTTCACATCTAAAAAAAATAAATATATCGTTAATTATTAATTAATCAAAACTTGTTTTCATTAACCTTAAACTTAATAACTTAATTAAGTTTTTTTTTTTTTCAATGGAATATTATTATACAAGTTGACATTTGTAAAATTATGAAAGAACATATAGATAGGAAGGATATATTCTTTTGTAATATTTTCACCGAATCGTTTTTATAAAAAAAAAGTTTTTAATTAATAATTAAAATTAAAAAATGTATCCGTTGGTAAAATATTCAAGGATGTAACCGCCATTGATGTATAAAAAATTTTATTTATGTAAGGTAAAGATGTATATATATATATATATATATATATATATATATATATTTTTTTTTTTTTACTAACTGAGTTGTCATTATCATTTTCGAGTTTTAAAAAAAAAAAACTTGAATAAAATTTATTCAAGGATTTTGTGGCTGACAGTTGTTGTTGTTGTTGTTGTTGTTGTTGGTCACACAACCAACAAACAAATCAAAAAAAAAAAATTATTGAGTAAATTTTTAATATAAATAATCTAACTTGCAAAACTCGAATAACAATTTTTTTTTTTTACATAATGAAAAACATCTACGAAAGTAGAATCGGCCGTTTAAATAAATTTTCATTTAAGCTTTGACCTAAGAATAACCACCCACTTTTTGTACCCCCTTAGGGTGAATTTGATTTTATTTTACAAAATGATGACACTATAAAATCTTAAATTTAATATTTTAGAAGGGGGTAAATGATGTAATAACTTCAACAAAAAAAAAATTTGCTCGTTGATCTTGACTCGAAGTAAATAAGAAACAAGCAGAAGAAAAAAAAGGTCGTGATAATAATTAGAAATTGTTATCACGACTACAATTCACTAATCGAAACAAATTTCCACCCCCCCTTCCCCTTCGTTTATTTAAAATTTCATATTTTATATTAATTTAAATAAATTAAAATCGATTAAATGAATTAATTAAGTTCGGTATTTAAACTTGGATAATTGGGTATTGCACGTTTTTTTTTTGCACATTTTAAGTAAAAAATTTTTATAGGTGAAGCAATAATAATAATAATGACTAAAATAAATAAATATTCTTACCTGGATTTATTTGTAGGCTCGAATTTCCATCGGCGTTTACGGTTATCGCATTAATAAATATTAAATGAGTACAATTGTTAAAATTAATTTTTTTCAAATCGACTTCGCCCTTATAGTAGCAAAGTATGTGTCGGGCGTTTTCTTCATTTTTGCATTTTGACCCTGATAACATACAAAAAAAAACATAAATAAATGTTAAGGTTTTATTTTATTTTGATACCATCACATCCTTTAACAAATTTTCCGCGTTTTGATCAAATTGTAAAAAAAAAAAAAAATTATTAACAATAATTTAAAATAGTTCAAGCTGTGAAGAAAAATAAATTGACTTGAAAAACGCGTTTTTATCATTATTATTTTTTTGTTTTTAATTTATTATACAAAACATTTATTTACTTGGTTTTTTCCTTTTTTTAAATAAATAAATACATATTCGGATTCGTAAAAAAAAAAAAATATTTAAAAATTTATGTAAAACGCCCACCACTCGTTTTTGTTTTTTTCTCACAACCGATTATTCTTATTTATTTATTTATTTAAATAAAATTCGTCGCATAAAAAAAATTTATTATATATATTTTCTCACGGTGTTGTTGTTAACAACGTATACGTCTTGTTTGTTTGTTTGTTGTCATTGTAAAAAGTCGTTTAAAAAAAAAAATTATGTTGTGGCAGAATAAATGTTTTTTTTTTTTTATTATTTTTCCATAGCAGTTCCTTGAGAAGAATTTGGAGTAAAATTTTAAAATTTTTTAAATTTGTTATAATTTATTTTATTATAATTCTATTAACAATTTATGTAAGAGTTATTAATAGACTTTATATTACAAATAAGTTTATGTTGAAGGTATCAATAGATGAGTTATGTATCCTTTTGTATAATTGTTATGATTAGAATGGCAAGAAAATGAATGAAGTATTTGTTTAGTTTTCTCATTTGCGGAAAGCTTTTGATGACATCCTTTCGTTAAATATTCACAAACGATTTTTCGTTTATTTAATCATAGAGTAAATAACATAATCCGTAATCGATGGATGATTCATTTTTGTCGGACCATAGACATAACGACGAACGTAATAAGTTACCCTGGCCTTGGCTGTTGTAATTTAAATAAAGGAAAGAAAGTCATAAATTTTTTTTTATTAAAACACTTTAACCACACGCGCACGCAGGCACACACACACACACACACACACATGGACACGCTTATTCAGGTACACACTCGCCCAAACAACATAGTGAGCGGTCGTTTTTTTCGTAACGTATTTCAATTTATATAAAAAGAATATTAAAGGCAATTTTTAATCGTGCACATTAAATTAGTTACAAGGAAAACGAGAATATTATTATTATTATTATTATTAAAATTCTCGGATGAATCGTGTGAAGAACCCGGATTTTAAGAGCATTTCTGCCTTTTAAAATGTTCAAATATGTACCAATGACGCATAATAAAAAACTCACCATTTGCAAAAGCTATTAACGCCGACAACACAACGCCGATTATGGCAATTTTAAAACAGTTCAACATTATAAAAAATCTTTACTTTTTTTTTTTTTATGTGTGGCGTCTCTTTATTTTTTAGGGTACGATTAAATTTTCATTTCTGTTACTTTTTGAACCTTAATTACTTTTTTTTTTTTTTAATAATAAATAATTTAAAAATGGCACTAAAATTCAATTTGTTGTGTTGTCTTATCTGAAAAGAGAGAAAAAAAATTTTATTATTTTCATGTCATTTTTATTATTCATCAGTTATGTAATTATTTATGTACATTTATTTTTACATGTGAACGGACTAATTAAAATATATTTAATCTTAAATATATTTTGTTTGATTGTTTATTATTTTAATAAAATTGTAAAAAAATAATAATCTGAGACATAGAAAACAAAACAAATTCCTACTTTGGTAAAACATTTTATTGTATAAATAAAAAATTATTTATTTATTTTTTTTTTATACTCGTGTTTAACATTTGCTACTGTTTGACCTATTGACACTTATTTAAAACCATAAATACTTTATTATGATTACAACCAGTTAGAAATATACATTAAGAAAAATAAATAAATACATAAACCATGTTGAGATTAAAATATTATTTATCTCTAATTGATCCACTTTCAATTTTTAAAAATGTTGGAATTTAAATCTTTCTAAAAATCAATCAATCAATCACGTTCGTTTTAAAAAAGAATTAAACTTTCATTAAATTATTATTATTATTAATATTTTGATGAAAATAATATCGAATTACATTTTTTTAAAAAAATAAAGAAATTAATTACATGAAAGGAATCGAAAATAAAAATAAATTAAACAACCTTCACCAAGCTTTCGATTATTATTATTATTATTATTATTATTTTTATCATTATTTATGTTTAATTAAACGTTTTGACAATTTCGAAATCGAAAGTCGATTTAAATATTTTTTACGTTTCATAAAAAAAAAAAATTAGTTTTAAATTGAAATTAAATTGTTTACGTTTGTTTTTTTTTTTATGAAATAAAAATTCTTTTTTTTTTTGCAAAATTTCATCGCTCAGGAATTTCTTGTTTTATTACTTAATTTATCATTATTATTATTATTATTATTGTTATTTATTTATTTATATGTAATAAATATATTGGAAAAGTAAAATTTAATAAACATTCGAAAGTTTCGAATAAAAAAATAAAAAAGATTTTTTTTTCTTCTCATTATTTTTTTTTAATATCATTTCTTATCTCTTACCAAAATTCTTTCCCCGTGATTTCCCTTTCCCTCCCCCCCACCACCCCCTCAGGAAATACGTGGTGAATTGTTTTGGAAAAAAAAAAAAGTAAAAATTTGATATAATAATGATAACAATTGGTTATAACGAGTTTGAACAATATAAACTATAATAATAGGTTTTTTTTTTTTGATTTCTCGAGGCGATCACTTGCCATAAAATGGCCACCATCACTTTTCTTTTTTTTTTTTTTTTTTTTTTTTTCTATTCCCACGAGATATCACATTAACAGACAATAATAAATTTATTATCATTATCATGCGCGATTCACCGCAAAAAAAAAAAAAAAAATTTATTTCACGGTCGTAATAAAAGGAAATATAAATATTAAATCGTTAATTTTTACGTAATAATTTAAATCGATAAAAATGTAAATTATTAATTAAAAATGGCGGACGGAAATAGATTAATTTTGAAAATTTATAAAAAAAAAAAACGAGGATAAATAAATAAAATCGTGACATCCTTTTTTATTTATTTATTTTTTAAAATTAAAACTCGTTCTAAATTATTTTTTTTTAAAAAAAAAAAAAGGTCATTAAAAATAAAATAGAACAAAAAAAAAAAAAAAGAGTTTAACCGGATATTATTCCATGAAAAATTTTCCCGAGCGACGATAATGAATCACCGAAAGGTCAATGAGAGTTCAAGGTTATTCAAGGAAAAATAAAAAAATTATACAGGAAAAAATATTTAACGGTCGTTTATATATAAAAAAAAAAATTAAAATAACCCTTGATGAATTTTAAAAAATGATAATAATAATTGATTGATTTTTGACTTTGAATCAACCGTTTCCTCCCTCCCCTTCCCCTCCCCTTCTTATGATACGTCTTTGATCTTGACCAATGAACTTCAGACATTTGTGATTAATAATAATAATAATACGTAAATTCTATGCACCACTTTCAACTTTTTTTTTTTGATGTAAGGAAAAAAAGGGAGGGGGGGACTTTTACTTTCGATCGATTATTATGAATTTTAAAGGGGAATCCCCTGTAACTAGCAGGACTTATAAGAAAAAACGACGGCGATCGAGATAAAAAAAAAAAAATGGAAAAACTAGTTCTTGTTTTTTTTTTTTTTAGAAAGTTTACAATCAAAAATGGTTTTTTTTTTAAGTCCGAGTTTTTCCAATAAATTTTAAAATACGTAAACGTTTCCCCCTCCCTC